ATGGGTGAGGCACAACATTAATGGGAGATCTGTGGAACAGCTAAGATTAACTAGAAGTAGTTTTAAATCATTGTGAGGAGCCTTACACTGCTAGGGTCCCTTCTGACAATTGGAGGGCATTGATGTGAAGCAGCTTACACTGTGGGGCATCTAGTCATCATGTGGAGGGGACTGACAAGTGGAAGGCTGCACTATTGTAGCCCTAAGTGACAGTCAGAGCTCTCCCAAAATAAAGTTCACACTGATGGAACTGTGTTTCTCAGAGGTAGTTGCGGATATTTGAACAGTGGTAAGATCAAGGGCCAGGGAGAAACTGAACGCAGAAGGCATGTAAACACTGAACTCAGGTGTGATTAATTCCACAGGTTGCAGCTCTTCAAAGGAGCCTCCTTTCCGTTTCACCTGGGATAAGAGTCTCTTCTTGAAGTATCGGCGAAAGGAGCTAAAATCCATCCTAGAGGAGCTGGATTTTAATCACCCTGTAAGACTGGTGGACTCTCTTCTAAGCACAAGGCACTGTTCTTAAGGCAGCATGCTGTGCTGCTTTCCTTTCTTATCAAAGCACATAGCGTAACTTGGTTTAGTCTGATTTCTGTGTAAGAAGAACAACTAACAGAGATGTCCTTTCTCTCTCTCTCTCTCTCTTTTTTTAATGTCTATTACATTTTTGTCAAGGACCTAGATGGCCTGGAAGTGATTGGTAAAGGGCAGCCTTTCACTTCTGTTTCAGCACAGTGTTTTCCACTGTGCAAGGAAAATAAGGAAGTCACCACTGAAGAGACAGTGAGCCCGTAAGTTCTCTTTGATTACAGTGACAACAAAATATGGATACAGAACAAAATATGGATACAGAACAAAATATGGATACAGAACAATAGTTTTTGAAGATTTCTCATTTGTCCTTATGCAGAATGGGCCAGGATCTCCACAGAGGGCAGGGAAGTGTCTCAGAGTGGCCTTAAGAAAGCCAGAAATAGCTAGTAGAGAACTCTGCCTATGCCAGGGGAATTCTGCACTAGTGGTAATCTGATTGAGGGGGCTGCCTCTTTAATGCCAACTGTCTTCAGGCCTACGTAAAGGAGGGGAAGGGTCATGTTGAGAGTGCAGCATAGATGGAAAGAGGAGTATGCTGAAGTAAAGTGCTGCTATGGTCAGTTGTCCATTGGCAAAGTTAGATACGGTCCTCTGTGACTCTGAACTAGCACTGGGGCCTTGTGACTCAGGCTTAGGGAATGGAAACCAGCTTCTTGTGGCCCAGCCCTCTTTCCACTCACTGTGTCCTCTGTTAGGCAGGGTGGAGAATCTGCTTATTCCTACTTATTCCAGACTGTGCATCTCCTTCACGTCTTCGGTCCTCCATCTTCCTCAGATAGCTTTCTCTACCCATGAGGTACGGGGGGTTGGGCTTTACCTATGGTCCATTCTCTGGTAGATTCTGTCTGTTCATTTAGGCTACGTCTGCACTGCACAGTTATTTTGGAATAAGCTATTCCAGAATAGTTATTCCGAAATAGCTTATTTTAAAATAGCACGTCTATACTGCAGGGAAGCCTCAAAATTAGTCCAAGGAAGGCTTCCCTAATGTAGACGTGCTATCTCGATTTAAAGCTCCAGGAGAAATAACTTAGAATGGCCCTGATGAAGGGCTATTTCGAAATAGCAGAAGTGGAGCATCTACACACGCCTTATTTTAAAATAGTTATTTCGGAATAGGCGTTATTCTTCATAGAACAAGGTTTACAGAAGGTGGAATAAGCCGTCCATTATTTCAAAATTTTTTCAAAATAACAGAATTACTGTGTAGACACTTGCATAGTTATTTCGGAATAATGGCCGTTATTCCGAAATAATTTTGCTGTGTAGGCTAGTGATCTGTCTTCAGCCTTTGTTAGGCAAGTGTCCTTTCAGTTCCATCCTGCCCATTTTTGCTGGTGACATATTAGTCTATGTTTGGAATTCCTATAATCCACCCTGGAAGCTGCAGTCCAATGGCACTGTCTGTAATCAGAGGATCCTGTGATTTGATGAATTTTCAGTCTGTTGGCTACAGTTGAACCCTACAGAAGAAATGATTAATCAGAAATTAACCCATTGCTCTTGATTAATGTGGGTGTTCCAAACAACTCCTCTGTTCCTCAGTGCTTAATAATAACTTGCTTGGACAGTCCCAAAAGAGCATATTGTTGTTTGCTTTGTTTAGCAGTGATCCCCTAGAAGATTATCCAGATGTGTTTCCAGAACCAATATTTGGTCCATCGTTGCAGTTTTGTGGACAGCCAGCTCGCTGGATCAACACTTCTCATAGGGTAAAATTGCACTTGTTTTGAAATACGACAAGGCTACATGTTCTTTGTTTCCCAAGTCATAGCTATGTATTGAGTGTAACCTGCAAGGACATCACGGAGTAGTTGCTAAACTTGTACTTGCTTTAGATGTTCTGTTTGTTTTTCTGTTCAGCCTCAGGCCACCTCCTGATGGTGGCAATGTGGTGGGGGTAGGAACAAACAGTGTCTTCCAGTATTTTCTGTCGAGCTGGATCTGATAGTTTAAACACTCAGCTTTAGTATCTCTCCATTTGGTGATGGGAAGGCAAATCCTATGGTTATCTTTTTCTTTCTCTGTTCCCCACAGGATGAAGTTGGCATTGCTGCCCAGCTCACCTTTGAAGTTTTGGCAGGTGATAAAGCTGAATCCTGCCTGATAGTAAGCAATGATGGCACAGCTGCCATATGGTATGATTGGCGGAGGCAAGCCCAGTCAGTTACTTTTGAAGAGACTAAGGAGAAAGGGATGCAATATTTTTATTTTAACACCAGACCAGGTGAGATGTGGATCTCTCAATGGTTAGCCAACTTTATATCCGCCCGTGCCAATGCAAACCTGTGAGGTGGACATATTCAGGGGGTTATCTGAGTCAGACCACTTCCAAAGCAAACATAGGTGCTGATTCTCCTTAAGAAACTACTTGGGGCTCTTGAAGCAGACTAATGCCAGAGGAAATGTGTGAGAGAGATCCCTTGCAAGGGTGGTTGGAGTTAAAAAAGAAGATGAGTCCTACCCAGAATTTGTATGGGAAGAATATCTAAAACCACATGATTTTCTATTGAAAAATGGGAGCAGAATGTGTATTGAGCGTGTTTAGATCACATTAAAATTAGAGATTGGAAAAAGGAGAAGAGGAAAAAAACATTCAGCCATCTGATGGATGGGAGTAAATCTGGAAGATGGATGGAGATACCAGGTGTGAAGTCTGACTGAAAAAAAGATATTGGCCCCAGAAAATGAGCAGATTTGAGAAGCATTTGGAAGAAGATTCAGTTGGACAAGAGAACTTTTGTAGTCAGGTGACTGATGTGCTCTCTCTCTTATTCTTAGGTGTCATTCTGCCTGGGGAAACTAGAAACTTTTCCTTCTTTTTCAAGTCGGGGAAAGCAGGCATCTTCAGTGAGTCCTGGGAGTTTTGTACTCACCCCATGTTATTAGGAGGGGCTGCCCTGCAGGTTTCGCTGTGGGGTATTGCTGTGTATGAGGATAAGTTTGCTGGCCTCAGAGATGAATTGGAGGTAACCAAGTGGCTAGCTGTGTGAATATAAGCTTCAGACTCAATGTGTAAATATAGTATGATGTGGGTGCTGCAGTGTTGTTATTGCCATAAAATTGGGAACATGGAGTAACATTATCAGTAACTTAAATTGCAACCAAAGGTGATTCCTATTTTGTTTGTCTTTTTCTATAGTTTTAGTTGGGTAGGTAGTTTCCAACGTTTCCAATGCAATGGCAGTAGCATTCCATGTTGCCTCAATCTATTTTCATTCCTCTTGTATAAAATCTAAAAATGTCTCCTAAAAACATTTACTTTGTCCTTTTAAAAAAAATCTGTTTTTTGTTTTTTACGGTTTTAGTTACTGGTATGGCTGGAGTTTAATGACCTACCGAGTTAGTCAAATTAAATAATATTTTTTAAAATATACCATTGTCAGTAAAATACAGAAGTTTGTGTACTTATGTGTCCTTGAGACTGAACACATATGTTAATACATGCCCATAGTAGAGCGTGTGTGAATTTGTTCATGGATCAAGGAATCAAATCTCTTATGATTACTGTCATGTTCCAGAGGGAGCTGGCTGTACGAGAAGTTGCTGTCATAGTACAGGAGAATCTGAAGGAGCTGCTTGATCGAATTCGGACACCAGAGCGAGTTCCATCTCCTGTGGATGCTTACATCACAGAGGAAGAGTTATTCCACAGAAAGAATCCAGAGGTACAGTTTGCCATTTGATATTCTATGTGGAACTTAGCTTAAGTACTCAGGCTTATGGGGGTTGGTGCATCCCAGGGTTTCTAAGCAAGGGGATAGAACAGTCCAGCTTGTCAGTTTAATCATTAGCTGGTGTTCTTATTTGCAAAATAAGACTAGTCTCATCTTTAGCTTTTGCTTTTCTGTTATCACAGTTGCATTATCAGCACCAAGTGGTGAAGGAGCTTCATGAATTATGGAGACAACACATGAACCCTCCCTTGACTTCAGAGGAAGAGGAGATTTTGCGCCAGAAGAGCATAGTGCAGCTAGGCTCGGGCCAGAGGAGTGCTGTGGACATGGTACGTCAGAAGAGCATTACTGGGGAGATGACACAGCTGAAGAGTGCTGTGGAAGAGATTCCATGTCAGAAGAGTATTGTGGAGGAGATCCTAAGCCAGAGCATTAATGTGGAGGAAGGAGAAGTGAGCCAGCCAGAGTGGAACCTTTCCTTGGAGGATTTTAAACAGGTTCTAACCCTTTGTTAAAATGGTGATGGGTTGGCAAGGAATGGAGGTGTAACCACTTTGAGATTACTTGGGAATAGTCTGGCATGTTTCAGCTCCCAAACAAATGAAGTCGAGTGTGTATCCAGAAGCTTGAATAAGTCATAGCAATGAGGTGACGGGGCAATTCACTGAGCATATCAGGGAAAGCCTAGCAGGGAATAAATCATTTTTCAGTCCTGGATGTTCTTGTGGAGAGATTCCTGATGGAGACTTTACAGCTCTAGTGTGATGAAGAAAAAAAAATTGGATAACATTATACATGGTCTGTGTTTAATATTATTTGGCTCTTGGAAAGATAAACCTTTTAGTATGGAGAAAAAGCACTTGTTTATCCCAGGATTTAGAATGTGCGGGGTGGGGTCATGACACAACCCCCTCTGTTTCCCTTGCAGATCTTTGTACTTGAAAAATTATCCTTATCTACCAGAGGATTTGGGAGCCTACTGCTCACAACAGCATGCAGACAAGGCATTTTCCAATTTTCTCCGTCACTACAGCATTAGTTTGGATTTACGCTGAGCCAGCCTTGACTCTTATCAGCACAGGTTTTTCTGTAGTGCATTGTTGAAACCTGTCTGTTGCTTTTATAGCTTTATTCCCCATTCCTGCCATTAGGCTCCCCAGGATCCCCATTCTTGCTCTGAAGCTAAGGAGTTGCTCACAGGGCTTTCTATCCCATCAGGCTTTGCAGTTAATCCCTGAGGAGGAAAAACGAGAAGCAGCCCTGACCCAGCTCAATAAGGCAGCATTGGAGCTTTGTGTTGAACAGAGGCCAACTCAGTCAGACCTCCCATACCAAACATGGTATGTTACCTTTGTAGATAAAAGCCCTTTCCTACAAATAACCCTTGCTTAGTAGCACTACCAGACGCCAGCAGAGAACTGACAAATGTGTCCAGCAATATGAGTTCTATCAGGCCTCTACATGCAAGGTTTTCTACAGGTTAGAGATAGCAGCTCCCCAAGTGATAGGTGCCATTTAACTCAGACAATAAATCTAAGTGTTGATCTTCTGTTGCTTTGCAGAATACATGACGTCTCTTCATTCTCTGAAGCTGTTAGCTGGCAGAATATTCTATTGCCTTTAGGAAGCGCTCATCTGACAGTTTTCTTTAACATTGTACTTGAGAAGGTTGTTGTATCCCATAGTTTGCCATTCACTCTTATTTTAGGTCTGTAAACACACTGAGTTTAAATTCCCCTGTAAACCAGAAGGACACAGGAACTCCAAGAGGCAGGTGGGAGTCTGATCAACGCTGACTCATTTTGAAAAGGAGGAAACCTTATTTCACAGTAAAGTTTATGGATCCAGCTGACCTCTGTTCCCCAAACTATTGAAAGATCCTCCTGAAGCCATCTATGCACACTTGTCAGACCTTGTATGGTAGCACATTGAGTTAGTTGGAGGCAGCAGTATCTTTTACTGGTTGTATGGTGTCTTGGTTCATGGTTACAGGGTAGAACAAGATGTTGGGAGAAGCAACAACTCTGCTTTGTCCTGTCCCTGCACCCCCATATGCATATGAATGCTCTCCTGCACCACTTCTGACCAATACTGCGAGTTTGTTTCTCAGTTTTCAGCTTTGGCGTGAAGTACTTGATGGTCTGGTGAGCCGCTCCCTAACGCTGAGATCCCTGCTTGGCATGCCTGAGAAGGACATTTATGTAGAAAATGTTCCAGAGGAAATAGGTAATTTTATTGTCTTAGCACACCAGATTTTAAGCCATTTAAGCAGGTTTTCCTAGGCCTTTTAAGTGGATTATAGGTAACTTACTGAGATTCAGCTGAAATGGCTGCTTGGGCACTTGCCCTTTGTGAGGAAATATATCAGAAAAAGAAATCCAGTGTATACTACTTACCCTGATTTGCAGAGTGGTCTTTTAAAGGCACAGAAATCTTTTGACTTAGCATTAATACTTGTATTTTTATTAGCATTTAGGCCTGTTTTTTCACTCATATTATCCTTTGCATGCTACCCTGCTGCACAGTTATAACTTCTTATGTCCATCCTTAAGTAAAACTATACCTGAAAAATCAATGTATTTATACGTATGCTAGTTTGCAGTATGCGTCCATAAATCTCAAATGGAGAATACAATGCAATATGATGTATTTATACTGTACAGAGGCATTGGATTTGCATCTCTGTGCTAGGGATGTGAAAGTTACAAACAGACTCCCAGTATGCACAGGGAGCCAACTTAAAAGTTGGTAAAGTGCGTGCACTGGCTTCCGAGGAGCTGTCTCCCTCTTCCCCCCCGCACTGTGTAACTGCTGAAATTTTCAGTGGTTGAACATTTACTTGATTGAACACATTTTAACATCCCTACTCTGGACTGGATCTTGAAACACTGGAATTGTTTTGTTTGCAGTGGATCTGAAGCAGATTGCTAAAGGAGGAAAGGAGGACCGGAAAGTCTTGCAGAAAGAAGAGAAGAAGACAGCTGGGGGGAAGGAAAAAGAGGATAAAAAAGGAGCAACAAAGTCAACAGGAAAAGACAAAGAGGTATGTAGTGGGAGCCTATAAGATGGAAAGTGAAGAGCTGGTTTCTGTGAGGATGTGTGACAGATGTCAAAGGTGTGCTTGTAAACCTACATATTCCTGTGGAAAAGTTGATTTTCTCTCTTTTGAAAGAACGGCGGTCTCTGATATGCAGCCGGCTCTGCAATTTGAGGGATGCTATCTTTGTCTTTCTTTCTGTGTATGATCAGGAACGGCCAAACAGCAGGAAGACAAAAGGGAAAGATGAGAAAAGAGTGAGAACTCCAAGTTTTTCACGGGAGGTGAAAGAATTAATACAGCTGGATAGCATAGAATCAGACCAATATGCTCGCCAAGAACAAGTAGATCCTGCTGTACTTGAGAAATACCATGAAAAACTTTATGTTGAAGTAAGTCTGGTCTTATCTTTCCATGTTTCTTGTTCTCGTGTCTTATTTTTCACCTTTTCTCAGTTGCTTTCAATCTGTGCTTTCATACAACATGCAGTCAACCTGTGGTGTTCCTTGTCAGGATGCTGTGAAGAACAAAACTATAACAGGGTTCAAAAAAGAACTAGATAAATACATGGAGGATATGTCCATCAATGGCTATTAGCAGGGCTCGCCGAGCAGCGGTGACCCCCACTTGCCAGCCGCGCGGTTCTGCGCTCTACGCATGCGCAGATCGCTCTGCGCCGGCTCTTCCGGGGTGTAATCTACTCGCCACAGGCGAGTAGATTACATTGTTTGTCAAGCCCTGGCTATTAGCCAGGATGGGCAGGAATGGTGTTCCTAGCCTGTTTTCCAGAAGCTGGGAATGGGTGACAGAATCAATTGATGATTACCTGTTCTATTCATTTCCTCTAGGGCACCTGGCATTGGCCACTGTCAGAAGACAGGATACTGGGCTAGATGGACCTTTGGTTTGACCCATTATGGCTGTTCTTATGTGCTGTTTCCTTTTCTTTACTTTTAAGCTTATTGTGGAGCTAAGTGCACAGTTGAACATTTGTTAGCATGGGCTGTGAGGTGGTATGTCTCCTGTGTCAACTGCTCCTTCAGCTGGAATGATTCCATCATGTATTCAGATGCCTCAGTTCTGACCTTGACTTTCTTCAGCATGCTTACAAATACTTGAGGGATCATCATCCCCAATTATGTCAGATAATATTAAACATATTTTCTTTTAGTTCAGATAGTTCCTGTTAGGGATAAAATATGTAAAATCCAGATATTTCTTTAAGCATTATAAGCACCATGTTGGCAGTGTGTATATAAGGTAAATGCCTTTGTTTCAGTCAATCCCCTTCACAATCCTTTATTATCATATTTTCATTAAAATAGTGTATGCATTTTTTCTGTTCTAGGTCTATAGCCTGCTGGATTCTATGATAGACAGTATGGTTTTTCTACTTGAAGATCTAAAGAGGGATGCCCAAGAGCAGAAGAGTGAAGCATTTTCTGTCTAAAAATACATTGTTGTTGTTCTTTCTAAAGAAAGAAATATCCATGTTTATATTAAGTGTAGTCTCCTTTTCTTCATGAATCTGGCAAAAACGACTAAAAAAACCTGACCCATTTCTCATATTTTGCTATTGGAGATCCATCCCGGCAGATATTCCTGGGTCATCTGTTATTTCCACAAAAGTCATTGAATAGGGAAAGTTCAGTACATTGGAGTGTCACAGACTCAGAAATGGTTCAGACTAAAAGAAACTGGAGAAATTTTGCCTAAGAAAGGGTACGTCTAGACTACATGCCTCTGTCGCCAGAGGCATGTAGATTAGGCTACCCGACAGAGTAAAATGAAGCGGCGATTTAAATAATCGCCGCTTCATTTAAATTTACATGGCTGCCGCTTTGAGCCGACAAACAGCTGATCAGCTGTTTGTCGGCTCAAAGCGGCAGCCATGTAAATTTAAATGAAGCGGCGATTATTTAAATCGCCGCTTCATTTTACTCTGTCGGGTAGCCTAATCTACATGCCTCTGGCGACAGAGGCATGTAGTCTAGACGTACCCAAAGAGAGCTGACAAGTTCCAATATATCAAGACACATTGCTGGTCTTTGGTTCTCTGTCCCCTGTCTCGAAAGCCAATGAGGATAGAAAGAATGTACCAATTGTTCCTGAACACAACCATCATGACACCAACACAGAGAAGTGTCATTAGAAAGCCATCTCTTTTAAAAATTTCATGTCTCCTTGTGTCAGAATTTTACTTGGTTGAGCTGAATTGAAGTTGGTGGAGTTAAACTGAGCATGAATTTGCCTCACTTCTGTTAATTTTCTGTAACTATTTCAGTCCTAGGCTTTTTCCTCTGATGTTTTTGGAGTGAGTTGGGGTTGTATTTTTTCCCGCCATGAGGCCTCCACACAGCTGCTTGCCATTCCTCCTCCTGTGGCTTGTCAACAGTGGAGCCCTTCATCAGTAGCTTGGAGTTGGGCAGGTTAGGATTTGGAATCCAGGACTTACATAGAGAAGCTTCAACCTTTCGATTGCGTGTGATCTTTTTTCCTGTTTATTCCTGCTCAGGGTTTGGTTGAACTGACAGAACATGGCCTGCCTGTGGAAAGGTCGTCCTCTTTCTTGTACCTGGCCTTCCTACCTGAGCTGTCCTAACACTCCATCATTAGACAGGAGCATCCCCATCCTTCCCTGCAGCATCAGCCATGCTGTACTTAATATAGTCCAGCCGAAGAGCAAAAGTGAGCACTTTTTATGATGTTCCCCACTTACGTGGAGATAAAAACAGCATTCCCCTCTCTGTGTGTGTATGTAAACATCATCCCACATGATGGGATCATCATGCCAACGAGATGGGATTCTCATGTGAAAGTACTACCATGGCATTCAGTCACCTGCTTTCTCCCCTTTCCTTCTCCTATTTATACAGGGGTCTCCCTCTCTGTTGGTCTTAGCATATGTCTCTCTCTGGCCACCTCAATGGACCTGTGTCTCACTGGCAGCTAAATCTTATTCCCCTTACCTCCAGAACTGGTCCCATTGGAATTAAAATCAGTGGAATTGACCTGAGTGAAGAGAGCAGAATTTGGCCCTGTTAGCCTCTCTCTGATCATCTCCTCTCCTTTTGTGTTGGTTTGTTCTCCATGTGTGTCAACCTGTGTTTTTCCTGCTGCCTCTTCTATCTGGATTTCTTGGTGTGTCTGTCTGTTGCAATGACATCTTTTTGTGGAAACTTATCAATTCCCAATGTTATACCCACACCATTTAGCCTTAGGACATTTTTCAAATCCAGAGGAAGCTGGGACATAGAGTATCTCAGCTTGACACCTTGTTACAGAAACTTGTAATTTTCCCATTAAAATGGCTGGACTCTGTAGACTAGAAAATACCTTGGTATTATGAAGAAAATGTATCAATATGTTAATTTACATTTGCAACATGTCTTGAGATTTCTTGGTTAAAGGTTAAATTCAATGTTACTAATATTATATATGCACATACTCTCACAGTAGCACTTGTATTATCTGAGAAAATAAATTCCTTTTACTCCATTCCATTAAGATGAATAGGGTACAGTTTTAGTTTAAAACCTTTACTTCATTATTCCTTTGTGGTAGGCCACAAAGGAATAATAAAGAAAAGGTTTTAAACTTTTCATACAGGGCCTCTTAACCAGCAGATAGAGATGAAAAGAAAAGCAAGGCTTCCCTGCCAACAAGGCCGACTTCTCTATTAGGAACAGTAGGCACAGTGTCTAGGGCCCACGATACTTTTAGGGGCCCACGAAAATGTTTTAATTTTTTTCTCACATCAGAAAAAAATGAAACTTTTAGGGCCCACGAAAATCTATTAAATTTTGCCTAAAACAGAAAAAAAATGAAGTATTTAAGGTTATTTCAAAAATAATTTTTAATATTGATATTATTATGGAGGAAGGGGTCCACGAAGGCAAAAGTGCCTAAGGCCCATGAAAGTCATAATGTGGCCCTGCCTACCAATACACCTGTCTTTTCCCTCTAATGAGCAATCAACCATCAGGTGTGGAGGCAGCTCTTTTTCTGCTTGCTGTTGAATGTTTGGTCTTTGAGCATGCATTTAGGGGGATTCTGCTATAGGAGTACATGCAACTCATGCACATCAGAGTAGAGTCTTGAATAGCTATGTTAAGGCCACACATTCACTCAGTACTTCCTCAGGATTGTGGTCAAGGGCATAATTGATGGCATGGATGTGATCTTTCCTCAGATCCTGAGACCACACCTGCTACTTCTCTGTGCATTTGCTAATCTTTACCTCAGAAACAACTTCCCAAAGAATTTTTTTCACCACTTACAAACTTGTCAATGAACCGTCACAAACAAAATCAAACCCCTACCTTCACAATTCCCCTGTGCATCAGGGTGCAGTGTATCCATCCATAATGGCAAACCCTAAATTGTCTGTCTATCTTAGGTACCTGTATGACCCCTGTTACCGTTGGCCCTGAATGCCTCACAATCTTTAATGTATTTATTTTCATGATGCTGCTGGGAACAAGAGAAGTGCTATTATCCCTATTGTATAGATGGGAATTAGAGGCACAGAGAGATTAAGTGACTTTCCAAGGTCACACAGGAAATCTATTGCAGATCAAGGAATTAAATCTTGTGACAAACTCATCCCACTCACAGATGGTCACAGCTGCTGCCTGTTTGGCTTGAGGGAGAACCACATCCCAGATAGATGGTCAGTTTGCTGTTTCTTCTCCTCCAGGACTCCTAAATCCAGTGATGATGGGCTCAAAGTGCATCTGTTAGCGCAGCCTAAGATGGTCACCTTTCACCTGGAAGAAATGGCTTATGCCAAACTGAAGCTGAAAACATCATCCTCAAGAAATGTGCCCTCCTCCGGGAGGCACTCCACTTCGGGATCCAGCTGCAAGAAGTGAAAAATAGCTGTGTGAGTGTAGGCAACAGCAGCCTTTATGTTGGCAATTTTGGCAACCAGCAGCCCCAGCAGATTCAGTGCCTAAGACTGACAGCGGGATGGAGCACAAGTAGAACCACAGCTCCGGGCATCATTCTGAGACGTTTTGTAAGGAAAGATTTAAACACTGGTTCTCCAGTGACAAGCCCTGCACATCCTCTGCTGGGTTAAGTGCTGGAGCTGCAAGTTTGACTGTGAGCACTTGGCAGGGATGAGGCAGCACGTTACCGACCTCAACAGTGATGCCACCAGCCTCATGTGCACCAGTGCCAGCACTGGTTGGTGAACACATGACAATCCTGAGAGATGTGCTAGTGGAAGACTCCGTATCTCATCTAGGGATGTCTCCTCTGCACTGAGGCTGCAACCAGTATCAGCTCCTCCAGCACTTAGGTCAGACTACAGCACCCACCGCGGGATAAGATTTACTCCTTATCACTTTCGTCTGGTCTCTCCTTTTTGCTGATGTTGAACCAAGATCCTGTTCCCTGTGATTGGGACAGGGCCTCACTGGAGAGTCTATGTTCAGGGCCCCATCACAGGCAAATTATGTATGGTAATAGGTTGGCCAACCTCAGCCTGTCCAGGACCCATATAACATGCCACCTTGGCCAATTGGCCACACTCAGGACTGCTATCACATGCACCCCAGAGCAGATCCCCCTATTACAGAAGAGACAGAGATTTTACCATGGCCTCCTATGTGAGACCGAAACAGAGCCCTCTGTGGTCATACTAAGGTGACACAGGAGGAACCTCAGCAACTACCCCAAAGAGTCATCGTCCCTGCATGAAGCAGTGGCACCTAACTCAATACAAGTACGTGACAACTTTAAAGCACTCCAGGGCTCTTTAACTCTGATCAATGATCCCTTTGGCATGGAAGCCTCAATGAAGGCATGATCCCTTTGGCATGAAGCCTCAAGCCTATCCTTCAAAGGAACTCTAGCAGCAGGACAGATGAGGGACTCCACTCTCTTAAAGACTTTCCAGGGTCACACTGTGAATACAAGGGATTTAAACTTCAGCTTATGTACAAGTACTAGCCTCAACAGAGGCAGGGAACACCATTCTACTTGCAGAGCTAATAGGCTGACTGCCCACTTAGACTACGTCTACACTGCACCATAGTTCAAAATAAGAGACACAATTTGAGCTACGCAAATGGCATATCTTATTTCAAAATAGCTTTTTTTGTAATTTGGTGCTGTCTACACCACCAAATTTCAAAATAACCCACTATTCTGAAACATCCTTTCCTCCTCGTGGAATGAGGTTTACAGGGACATTGGAATAGCGAGCCCATTATATTTTAAAATAACAGACTTGCTGTGAAGACGCAGGATAGCTATTCTGGGATACGCTAGTATCCCAAAATAACATTTTAGCGTAGACACAGCCTTAGAAAGAGATCTTATTGTTCCAGAAGGATCCATCTGACTGGAGAATGGGTTGTACCATTTGACTGGAGAATTGCTAATATAGTTCCTATTTTTAAGAAAGGGTAGGAGGAATAACAGGTAGTTCGATTTAGGGCTTTATTTCGAATGCCCGTTTCCCCGCTGCGTGTAGACGTGAGCAGTTAGTCCGA